AGAGCCGGAGGGGCGGGTTTCATCAGCAGGGGCGCTCGTAACCTCCCAGAGACCCTTGCGAACAAGGAGGGCCTCCATGCCGATAACCCATTCGGCGTAGTTGTCGTCGGCGAGCTTCGCAATTGTGGGCGGTGCCATCGGGGCGGGAGCAGCGGGGAGCGCGGGGCGGTCGCGGTTACGGGGTCGTCGGGGTGCACGGGGTCGTCGTCGGGTCGGTCGTCGTCGGGTCGGTCGTCGTCACGGGTCGTCGGTTCGTGGGATCGTCGAGTGGCTTCGGCCCCACTAGGCAGTGCCTCGAATTATCCTTCGGGCAGAGGAGACGCGTTTGTGTAGAAGTTCAAGGGCAAGCGGGCACAAATGGGATTCGCGTTTGGCCGGTGCAAACGCGTGCCGTACACAGTAGATACAATAAGGCTTATATACGTAGCTAAATAGGGGTAGATAAGGGCGCGGGTATCCGTCGGGGGGCGGGACCTGTGGCGCTCGTTCCGCGAGCTCGCCATCTTGACGCCAGGATTCCAACAGTATAGCGCATGAAAAGCGGCGTAGGAGGCTCCTCATTGTTTTAGCGCCGGACACACACTCTCATCAACAAGGTGAAACCAATCAGTACCGTCCTGAGTCCACAAAACGCGGTGTGTTTTCACAGCAATCATAAACTGGCACTTCTCTAGGGCTTTTGTATGAGTACAGACATCGAAAGCTTCTGGGAAATAGTCCCTACGATCGTTTTTCGGAATAAGCGCCCACGATATCTGCCAATATTTGCCAGCGTAGGCCGGATGACAAAATGGCAATTGCCGTTGGCAGAATGGCAGCGGCAAAATGGCAACATTCTGCCGCGTACACTAATCCCAAGAGCAGTTGTAGCATGATTCACTACCTTCTTGCAGAGCATGAAGTTGCCCAGAATAGGGGTGCTCAATTCTTGTCGGTCGCTCAGTTGCTCGCGCGCCTATTGGGCGCCTGCCTAGCTGCATTCAAGGTCAGCTCAAGCGTCTGCAGCACAGCGAGCAGAGACACGCAGGCAGCGGGCGCAGAGAGATCGACAAGATCGTCTCATGCTAGGTTTGTTAGGCCCGGGAAATCAGCCCAGCAAGTGAATGGTGACGTCGGGAGAGCTTATAAACTCGTTGACCTGGACTTATTGTACACAATGCGCCCAAGTCGGAAACAGAATCAGCACGACATATATATGGTTCAGCTGAGGGTGCCGCTCTGGGCTCGATGGCAACTGGACTCAAACCTTGTGAGGCGACTCCATATCTCGAGACAAGCAACTTTATAGCTTCTGAATTGTCAAATCCTCGCGTCGCTCTCTAGTCCCAGCT